GGGGGGTGGTGGGGGGGGGGGGGGAGGAAAGTGACCAGGTCATTGGGAGCAGTTAAGGGGAGGTAGGGAAAGGAAAGTGCTGGGAAGATCAGCAGTGGGCCAACATATAGGCCATGCAGAAGAGACTGATAGGTGGGGCACAGTAGTTTTGCCCAACTTGCTTCATAAGAACCCTCCAGATTGTATTTGGCTGAAACCTGGAAGAATCAAAATGTTCTGAGTTTTGGTTCTCCCAAACCACAGCCTACCAGGAACCATTTGGCAAAACTCCCAAAATACAATGGGTTGAAAACAAAGCTTTGTGTGTGTGTGTGTGTGTGTGTGTGCGTGTGATGCCCACTTCTACTTACTGAAATATATTATTATCAAGTAAGCACAAGATGCATATATAGCAATTGAAACTTGAGTATCCCAATACTCAAAGGAAAATCAAAAAGCCCCTGAGGTGTCATGCTCCTCCTGGGGGATTTCTTGGTAGGATTTTTTGATTTTTGAATCATCCCAAAGTCTCATCTTCCACCAGGGGTTGAGGTACTGGTGGAAGAAAATATACCCACCCAAGCAGAGAAATACTTCTTGATTTTTAAAAAAGAAAATTTGAGTTCTAGTCATTGCATTTAAATGCATGGGCCAGAAAAGCTCATGTTGTTGTTGCAGATATTTTGAAGTGTAGATATCTTTCCTGTTACCTATTGCATTTTTCCCCAATTAACTCTCACCTATATTTAAATCTCTCTTTAATGCCAAAGTGGTTGTTGCAAATAAACAGAACAAAGCTACTTAAATACTAAAGGTAAACAAACTGAATTCTCAGCATCAACACAAAAGAAATCAAAATAGTATTTAATGAAAATAAAGGCTTTGCACTCTTTCCATCCCCATGCCCAGAACAGACACAACATTCAGATACAACATGCCAAAGCTTAGGTGCCATCACTATCAAGGAGACCTGTTTCTGGCTGCTGCAACACCAGAATCACAAGCTGGCCTGACCTTAATTGATGTGTGAGCCACACAGAAGAAACCCGCCTTCAGAAACGGGGGACAACAGGTAAGATTTTAAAACTTAAAAATCAGCATTTGAAGCCTGGGTTTAAATGAGTAACTCACAACATTGAGCCAGCAGAGATTGAAAATGGGATTGTGTCACTTTTTCTGTACATGTAGGGGCATGTGTCTGTGACAGAAAGAGAGAGAGATGTAGTACTTCATTACAAAGTAACTTTAATATTCCTCAGTTTAAGGAACCTTGAATTGTGCTGGCATCTTTAGCATGGACACTTCTTGTTAGCCACTGCTGCATTGAAGGGAAGCCAAGTGCAAGAGGATGAAGCATTCATTAAGAGTGACTTGGTTTTACAAAAAAGGGGTCTGCAAGCTGCTTCGTGGTATATATGCTTGGCAAATGCCTCAGCCACATGTATATCATCTAGAAGGATCACTACTAAAGCAGAATTTGTACCAATTCCCCACCTCCATGCCATATGCTTGGAAAACATCATCTAAACCAGATCAAAGACAGGAATACAATTTTAATTATACTTTTGACATTAACAAGACAAAAATCAATCTGTACATCTTTAAAAATCTGTACATTTCAAAAAGGTAGCATTACTTATATTTAAGGAAAATCTTAGAAACAGCTGCCATCCCAGTGATCCAATACTGTTCTATTAATGCATGTATTGTGCAAGCTTGCAGACATAGGACTACCCAGTCACAGTTGGCACACAGCAGTCAGTGTTGGTAGGATGGGAACAACAAATAATACACAAAAGCTTCATCTGAAATTGTTTTTGTGTTTCTGTGCATCATGCAGACGGGAGGAATAAGAAAGATATGGAAGTATTCTCAGCACAGGCCCACAAAATCTTTGCAGGTACATATTGCTGCTCACTGAATTCCAATAATTGACAATGGTAGAGTAAAAAAGTTTTCTTAAAGCTGCATTAGAATTCTTTTAACAGAAGATGGTGCCAAAAGCAGAAGTTTCTGAAGTGGGGGAAAATCTAGCTTAACAGCACAGTCCTATTACTTGTGAGCATATTTACTTTTTCTGCTAGGCTAGGTGCTTCAGGACTGATGAGCCATGTTCGCGTCGCACAATTTACCCAGTCTAATGCTACCCTGTGTGAATTTCCATAAGCCAGCAGCAGATTACCAGTCAGGCAGTGAGTCACCAACTTTGTAGGAAGTCACAGAGGTGGCTGAGAAGCTGCTTTTTTAAAAAACTTCAGTAGCCCAACTGCAGTCAGGGTTGGGAGAGGCTTCTCAACCCCATCTCCTTTCTGTCCATTTTTTCCTACGTGGCTGCAGTGTGAGTGTTAGGGGCAGGAAGAGTAAATATAAGCAAAATAGGAAGTTCCTAGAATGGCCCTGACAGTGTTGGCAGTAGGAAGAGACATGCAACTTTCTCTTCCATGGCCACACTACAGCACTAACTTGGAATACCTATTTTAACACAAAACGGATGTGGGACAGGTGGATAGGGCTACCAATCTATTATCCGCCTCTCCACCACCACCCCTTCCCCCCTTATTCTAGTTCAGCATGTCATACAAACAGTCCTTGAGATTGTGGGAGAAAAGTCCTAAAGCTCTTTTCTCCTCTTAACACAGACTAGTATTACCCACTGAATAAACCCAATCACATGGACAACCATTTTATTACACCTCTGCTCCTTTCTTCTACAAAGTCTTTTGATTTTGGCAAGGATAATTAACTGTATATAGTGAGGGTGTCATTAAGGCTTTGATAGAGAGCAAGATTTACTCACTAGGAGGCCCTGTGCCTTTGAAAAAGAGTACTTTCTGGCTCTGGCAAAGTCTTAGTCCTACTCATTTATAAACTTCACCTTTTAGTCATGTAACTCCTTCCCTGGGAATACGTCATGGACCAGAGGGGGAGAGGGGGAGAAGCAAGCAAGAGAACAATGAGATTCATTGTGCAAACATCAATATGCTTAGAAGGTTTTCCTTCTGTAGAGTCCAACAATGAAAATATTGGTAGGAATTTTCAGGAAGGCTGGGAGAAAAATAAGATGAAAGTTCCTCTCTATAAAGGGATTTTAAATCCATTCTGAAATTATAGGAAGAACAGATCATATTTAAAATAGTGGTTTTTTGCTTTAGTAGCTGGGTAGGCTTTTTTTTTTCTTTTGGTCTTTCCAACGTTTAAAACTCCTGTGTTTTATATTAAAGCCTCTATATACAGGAATGAAACCTCTCAAGTGGAATCATTTCCTCCTACCAGTGATTGCTCCAGATACGGAAGCAAACTTGGACAAAATGCTCACCTTCATTCTCAGAGGTGTGTAACTCCATGCAAAGAACAACAACAAAAAAGGAGGGGGATGAATTGGGATAATAAATAATGGAAAGTAGACAGCATGCAAGTAAAGTACATTTTATCCCATTTTACCTTCACAAGAACTTCGGTGATGTATCATCAGGATAAATGAATATCACCTGTGCAAAGCTTCATTGTGACTATCATACCTGAGTCAGGGTTATTCATTTAAAACATTTAAGTACTGTATACTCCCTTAACAGTTCTGAATGCTATTTTGCCAAGTCCAACACTTCATTCGGTACATTGTATCAGAGGAGACATCAAGAGAAATGGTAGTAACAAAAATGTAAGTATGTTGGGGCAAAGGGTGCTGGGATACAAACTGTAGTGATTTGCTACTTTGCTGTATTTTCTCAGAATAACCCAGGGAAATTAATTATTCCTAATAGTCAAACTTGGAACTGAGGCTGAATTAATATAGCTTGCCCAGTGTGATTCAAGGCTGTGCTTGCACTTTAGCTCAAGTCTCGGAGGTCCACTTTCTGTGTTAAATAAGAATGCAGCTTTCTTCCAATTTTTAAGCACTCTAAACATTAGCACAGTTATCTGCTGAAGAGACACTCTGACTTAGCTCCTTGAAAGTCTATCTGGCACCCATAGTTTGAAAGAAAAAAAACCTTAAAATTAATTAGAAGAGTTTAAATAAAATGGATGATAAAAATCAATGTTAGATATTTATGCATAGAAAACAGATTTAAAGGAAGTTTTTTCTTAGGCTTAAGCATTATGCAGTTTGTAATCTTAATACACAGCTGTGGGAAGTACAAACCATAAACAATTTAAAGAAGCCATAACCCCACAGAGGCTAAGCTGATATAGTCAGCACTGGACACAGTATCAAGACCTTCCATTGCTTACCAATTTTCTACAAGTGAAAAACCATTTTGTTATATTCAGTAGAAGATTTCACTCTTTATTTCTTACAGATGAGCTCACCAGGTTTTTATCCTTACATATATTGTCTTGCATATCTGCTGATATATTTGTTGAATCATTTTTATTCTCACATGAATCTTTTTCTATATCTTCCACATGTTTGCAGTCTTGGCTAACATTTTCCTTGTTTTTCCCTTTATGTTTTTTTAAATGGGAAATAGTCTCCTTCTGATTCAAAGGCTCAGCAATGTCCACTTTAGAGTTGTGACATTCAGCACTGCTGTTTTTTACCATACTGCTCTGCTTAACAACTTCAGGGGGGCTGTGTTTCTTACTCTGATCACTATCTGTACCATTTTTAATATGCTCTGTCTTTTTCTCATCATTTGTTTTATTCCTTGAGTTACAAATTTCAGATACATTCTTGGAATCTTTTGTCTTTTTATGTCTACAAGTTGAGTTGTTGCGAAGGGACACTGGCGAAGCCAGCTTTTTACTTGGTTTGCTTCCCTCCAACTTCTGTTTCCTTGGTGGCCCCCATATGAAATGGTCAGAGGGCGTGTAGTGCTGTTGGGCAAACCGTAGAAGTTTCCTCCTCTCTCTTCGATCTCTAATGGTATACACAAAATATTCCAAAGCACTCTGTTTAATGTTGGGGATAGTTTCTTCTACAAGAGCCTCATGAAGAATCAATTTTACAAGAGGAGGCTTGAAACTCTCATAACCAAGTTCACCAAGGCTCTTCAGAATTCGGGTGATTCTCAGATAATTATGTTGGGATCTGCAAAGAAAGATAAACCAGACTCAAAATGACAGGAAGAAAAATAATTATCTCAGAGAAAAAAGAGTGGCTGAAAAGTCATCACTACCTGTCCTGTTGACAGGAGGAGGACAGGATGTCAAGTATCAAATGAAAGTTCGCACCCTGATAGCTAAATTGCAATAATCTGTTACATATGTTATGAAATATAAAAACTGACAAAAATAGCATTCCTACCTTGAATCCTCCTCTTCTCTGATTGATGGTCACAGACCAATAATCACCAAAAAGAGAACTTAAAAAGTACATGGTAAACTAGACCTGAAACAATTAGCAATAAAAAGGGGATACCAAGTGAATTTCTGCAAGCTGTAGCTACTGCTAAAAACTTGGTAACCTTTTTAGTGGTTGCCATATTTGGTCTTGTAGGAGGAAGTCTGCAACCTTTAGTCAAATGACTAAGATTTCTGACAATCAGTTTTTTGCCAAATGCTATGAGTGATATAACAGACAATTTAACTGAACATAACTTACTGACTCAACCTCTGTATCTGAACATACACAAGTGTGGTTATCATATGGAAGACTAATATATCTGCTTGTTGTCATAATGGGTAATACGTCAATTTAGGCTAATGTAAAAAAAACTCCTGTGAGGAACATGTAAAATGGTATAAAAATATCTAGGAATTGTCCAAGAAGGATCAGCAATTGCACGATAATGAAAATGACTAACTTTGGCACTGCCATTTTGAAGATTTAAATCCCAAATCCTCCATTTACATTCAGCCAAGGCCTTACCTGGTCCAAAGGATGATATACACTGTAGCAGGGAGGGAAAAGCCACAATATGCCAAATCAGAGTAAAATTGCCTCCCCATGGATGCTCCTCAGAACATTATTTTCAACCAGAATCTGAGATGGCAAAGTCTCAGGCAGACCCCAAGGAAGATACAGCCAAGCTCTAACCAAGTAAGGGCTTTTGAGGTTGAGGGAGGAACATGAAGTGCAGTTTTAGAAGTCTAGATTGAATAACTTCCAAGAGAGAGGTATCCTTGTAAACACATAGCTGGGCACCATAGAGCAACAAGCCCAGAATTTTGGTTTTATATAATTTAATTGCTGCAGGAATGTAATTATTGCCTTTATTGTTTGTATATTTAAGAATCATGTTGGAGGCTTTGGGGGCTCTTATACAGCATTCACGTAATTGATTATTCCAACAGTGGAAGTTTGGAAATGGATGCCTAGATAGTTACATACCAAGTCCTTAATTTGGTCAAATGCTGTATTATTAATTTTCCATCTAATTAGAGACTGAAAGCACTTTATAGACTAAAACCTTATTTTTAAATAGTTAATTTCAAGAGATTTCCTAAAACATGTCACCAATGCTGCCAAGCATCTATGGAGCCCATTTGTGTTATGGATAGGATGGCTGCATGATCTACAGAAATAAGAACGGAAATAGATCAATGGGCAAGAGTTGGAGGATAAAATTCTAGCTCAGCAAGAGCCATGACTATGGCATTAATATAAAAATTAAACAATAAAGTGTAGAGATAGGAGCAGTTAAACTGGATGCTTCTGGAGAACATCCTGGTCCCTGAACAGAGAGAATTCAGATCAGGATAGGTCAACTTGCAATTCTACACCATTTAGCTGAGAAATACTTTAGCCCTTCTAAAGGCACCTTTTATGCCGTTGCTGAGTCAAGGACAACCTTTGACTCTATTCTTCCTAAGAGACTTTAGAGAAAATTAGTTTCAACATCCATTGACTGTTGCCTTCTCTCTGATATGTACTACCTCTTGAGCCTGCTTTCCAACATTTGTTTATCCTAGGAACAGCCAATGATGCATAGACAAGCAAAGTTTATGATACTGATATCACTGTTCAAGGCAAATATTATTATAAATAAATGAGAGGAGAGGGAGAAGTAAACATGGAAACAATCCTGTGTTTCCCAGAACTGCCATTCCATTCTTGTACAGATATATGCTATGCAATTATGTAGTATGTGTCAGTGCTACATTCATTACATTCTTGTGTCTTGATAAAACTGATAATATCATATCTGCACCTCTTTCTAATTTATCTCTTTTTTAATGTGGGAGAGAATGTTAGCATGTGAGAAGAAGAGAGATAAGAGAGTAGGATTTCTGGCTTGGATTCAGAAAAAGGGGGAGGAAACAAGATAGCTCTTGCCCACTGTGTATACTTCTCCTGCTTTTGGTATCACTGAGCATCTATGTATGAATATAAAGGAAATAAATGTATAACATTAGGTATCTCACTGACCATCTGGGGACCTACAATATGATTTGAACATGCCAATTTGAATTTTACACAGGTGCAGTCCAAATACTGGGTCCATATTTTGATGACTGGAGATGCTACAGGAGAGAAAAGTATGATAACTGCTTAGAAAAACAAATCTGGAGAGAATTGTCTGATTTGGATTCTGACAGTTCTCAAGCATCTTCTGCAAGACCTTACTTACTCATTCAAGTGCTGGAATCTTTCTTGCCAGTTAGCAGCTCGTGCTACATTCCCAGTTTTATCAATCAATTTTATCCCAAAAAACTCCAGCATCATTTTGTAAGCTAACAGGAATCTTCGAATTGCTTCTTTTGTTTTTTTGAACTCCTGTAACACATTTTTACAAGAATGCACAAACAACAAGAGCATTACACATACAAAATTATTGTAGTTTAAATAATTAAATATTAGCATTACATTATGAATTAGATGCTTTACCTCAATTTCACAGGTTGTCAATTCTTTTGCATAGAAATTCAGTCCTTGTTCTCTAAGTGGAAACAGCCTACATTTGAAACAGATGTACAAGTTTTTCTGAAACTGAAACAACTTTAACCAGATTTAAAACAAATTAAAAAGTAAAAGATACCAACCATTGTATGTAAGTGTGATTGTGTTCCAACTTTTCATAATCTCCTTTCCATTTATTCAGGACCTCTTCAATATAAACCCCTATAAATATATCAATGAACATACACCTTCTAAATACTATTTAGAAATTCAGCATAAATGTAAATAAAAGTGGTACAATTCTTTAGATTAGTACTTATTGTCTAAAATGAAATATATTGATATTTCTCCATTGTTTGAAAGACAAGGAAATGTATGAGATTAAGTATCGCCAAAGATCAAACAATGAGCCCTTGGCCCTTCTTTACCTGGTGAAGTACATGGACTCTCAGTGATGCAAAGCTAACTTCAGAATCATGGTGCCTCAAAGACCCTTCAAAAAAGCATGAGATCTCCTGAGGCTTCTAGAGAACCTAAGCTTTGTCACATGATTTCCCACCTCTTTCCTCCACCATGTAGGACAACAAATGCTCACTGCAGCCATACATATGGATGTTCTAAGTCTTAAATTCAGTGTAATGTCTCAAGGCCCTGTTTTCTTGGGAAAGTCATGATGAGAACCCTGGCAAACAAGGTGAAGGAGAAATAAACTCAATTTAGTATGTCTTACTTCTATATCAATATGCATAAGATAGAGCTGTGAAACCAAATGTAAGGTAGAACTAGTTTGACCATCTGATTTACATAGATCTGAAACTGAACAATAAATAAATGGTACTTTGGCTTATGCTACGGATTACTTACCATCAGGTTTAAAGGGAATTTTGTTCTTGTAAAAGCGGAGGTTGCACAAATCATTCTGATATCGCAACTCTTTAAAGTTCTGCTGAGCAGAAAGGAAGACAAATGCAAAACATTATCATCCAAACAAGTTTGTAAGAAATACTCTGTAACTGAAATTATTACCAGTATGGTTTTAATAATTTCAGAGTGCAATTTGGATTATCCAAAATTTGATCTCACATAGATATCATAGATAAGCCAATAAAATGAATATAGTAATAGTAAATGTATAGTAAGTGAGTTATTAGGATAGTTAAGCTACCATCCTATAGTCCCTCACTTAGAAGTGAGTCTCACTGAACTGAGCAAGACTGACTTCTGAATAGACACTTATGGTATAAAACTGCCCTGTTCAGCTTTAAGTACAATTTAAACAATCTCTTAAACATATATCTATATGATCGCTAGGAGTTGAAAATGACTTGATGGCACATAATCAATCTTAAACATGTTCAGATAGAATAAAGAAACACTGAAGTCACAGAAAGCTTGCTGTCAAGTGAGTGTATATATCTCAAGTAATTAATTCATAAAGTAAACAATAAAATGATTACAAGCTTTTTTTTAGCTTCTCCTCAGTTTGCATTTTTTGGATTTCCATATGATATGTAACAGATAAAAACTTTAATAATCTCACTGTAAGTGTTATGTTATATCGTTCAGTTCATTTCTTAACTTCAAACCTTGGGCTTTTCTACAATAAACTTCTACAATAAACTTTTTTTTAATCAACATGGAAGCTACAGTAAGCTTTTGTAACACAAAACCTAAGAATTTGTAACTTTTGTATAGTTCTCTATATAGCTGTCATTAAGATAAACAATTCATCAATAAACATTTGAAATAAAATATACTTGTATTTTAATAATACTAATCATAATGGCAATAATGGGAGCCAGTAAAGGACACCAATATCTCCCATTACCTATCTTCTAAGGCCACTATATATATTTTTTAAAATTTGAGGTCTCCACTGGAACTGCAAAAGTCTTCAAGGACTTAAGTTTAGTATAGTTCTATTTCAATGAAAGCTCCCAGATTACAAAACGCTCTTACTGGATATTGATGACGATATTTATATAAGTCTCTTGCAGCATAAAAACTTCTCTTTGGTTTAGATGTCACATCAATTGAATCATCCCCCTGAAAGAGCAAAGATTTCAGTGAAAAGCGGCAGAATGAGCATAATCATTATGTTAAATCTTCATATACGGAGCATTTGGCAGCATGAACTTATATTATTTCTACATCTCCCTCCTTCCATCCCCCCCTTTCTTGTTTTTCAGATCCTTTCCAACCATGACTCCTTACACCCTTCACCCCAGATCTGAAGCTTGGAGGATCTTCCAAAATATCTCTACCTGATGTCTACAGAATCCAGGGATAGCTGCCCCAAGAAAATATGTTAATGAACATCACAAGTAGGCAACATGTAAGTTTTACCATCATGTCAATCAGTAAGCTTTTCCGAGGAATCTTATTTGTTTTCAAGACCGAGACCTGATATCTCCCATTCTCTGGCTCTGATAACAAGCAACGGCACTATTCAGCTTGGTTATTCTCTCTCAAAGGGTTAAGTTTATACATTGTGCTAAGCCACAATTCAAAGCTTATAATGACTAATTCAAAATGTAACATGCTAAGCCAAACACTGTGGCAAAGTATACCTCATGAACTTAGTTTTTATATAAACAGTGGTACAGCTGTAAATGACATAGATTTTATTATGGTGTTTCTACTTTTTGAAACAGTTGTCATTATGGAAATCAGAGGAGCTGTATGTATCTAATGTAGGAACTATCAAATACACATTGTCATACAATTTTCATATAACTGTGGCTTTGCTGAAAACCTGAGGTAGCCCTGTAAACTCCTATGGTGATTAAGTTAGAACAGCTATGATATATAAATATGCACCAAATTTTGTGTAATCAGTAACCAGCTATATTAACAAAAGAATGAAACCACTCTATATTGAAAATTTTAAAAATTCAAAAACATGTAAGAATTATGTAGCATTCTTATGGTCTTAGCTCCAAATCTGGAGTTTTCAAAATATTGGATAAATTGCTACTTTTATGAAACAAGCATTTTAAATCATGTGGTTTATCTATGTAATTTCTTTCTTTCTCAACTCTTCTAGTATATTAAGATACTTAGAATTTTTGTCTAAAATCGGTTAGTTACTAATAATTATTCTTCATTTGAGGGGCCATTAAATGACCATTTCTGGTCCTGAAGCAGCATAATAAAGCTAACTAAAGTAATCATTCATAGATAGCCAAGTCCTACAACTTACATTAATTTAAAGGAGCTCTGTGATCTGTGTGACTGCAAAAAGGAAAGTGTCATTCAATGCCTCCTCATAACTAAGAAATTTTAGACAAGACTCTAAGTACCTTAATAACCTGGAAATATGACAGAATTGATGCTATCAAATGGAATAACAGGTAGTTGCAACTGAAAACAATTATTATCCATGGAAAAACCATACATTAATAAGTTAAAAGATAGGAAGAGATTCAGTGAATTTTTTCTGCTGATGTTTGGTTTGTGTCAAAAGAGCAATTATCCTTTCTCTTGTGCTTTCAAAATCTGTTCTGGAGGTTTGCAGACCCTTCAAGACAGATCTCAGAAGATATGGGGTGGCTAACAAAGAGAGGTCAGGAGGAGAAATCACATTGTGCATGTACATTATATTGGAATAAACTTAACTAAAAAGTTACAGGGTTTGTAAAATTGAATCTCAGTTGAAGAAACAGATAAATATTAGTATGAAAGCCATGGGAAGTAATACTGCTTTTGTGCCAGGCAATGGCAAGAGTACAGCTGGACTTCCTTATCTCCACTGAAAACAATATTCAAATATATAAAGTTGGCTATGAAACCTCAGAATAATCTTTGGAACTTCATGGTTTGCCATACCAGCAATTACTAATCAAGTCACATAGTCTGAGCAAATACTTTAAAAATGTTGGAACTGTTCACATGCAGAGAACTATTATGAGAACAACTCCTAAACTATTTTTTTTTTTTTTTTGCACACTAAAGGATATAAGCTTCCATTGAAGAAAGCTTCACAAAATTCAACATAATACACTTTAAAATAGCAGTGTAGAGTTGAATATTTCAAGTCTATGTTGAAACACACACTTATTTCTGGAGCAGGATGAATGCAAGTTTAGAGGGGAGTATAGAGCATGCACCTTGAATCACAGAACTGCAATGTACATTTGTGCACTTGCTCCCCTACTCATAGCTAACTTGAATAAACTGTCACACAGCATAAAACAACAGGTACAAGCCTATTTGCAAAGGAATCTCATTTTCTCATTATGGTGGGGACCTCATTTTAACATGTACAGTAAGTTGTGAGTGTAGGACTGAGACACTGGACCAAAACATTAACTATAGCAATTCAAAACCAATTCAGTTGTTCAAAGTTTTTGCACCATTAATTTCCTATTCTACTAAAACAAACAAACAAGACACACACACACATGCACACACACACGCTGTGTCTATTAATATTAGATCCACATTAATTTTTGTAATCATGTGGTTGTGGTCGCCAAATATTTTCCTTACAGTATCTACAGAAGAACAAACACTTTAAAAATAGATGTCTTTTCTTGAGAGTCTGCTTAAAAACTTGACGCCACTACCATCCTGCACTTGGCTGATCTTAAAAAAAAAAAAAATCTAAGCAGGATTTGACCTGGTTAGTTCTTGAACAGGAGACCACTAAAAAATAGCAGGGTTGTAGGCTAGACTGGAAAATTAAAAATCCATCCCAGAAGAAGCCAGTGGCAACCAAGTTATGTACAGTTGCCAAGAAAATTACATTAATGTGTCCATGAACTCACCAGTGGAGTTTGGTTCAAAGTAACTTTTCCTTTTAACAAGTATGATGTGACACATATCTAGCCAGAGGAAAAGATCCCTAAAGAAAATAAAGCACCTTAAAAGTTCTAGTGACTGAATCCATATCCTTGCCTATCTTTCATACAGAGAATGTGGGTCTGATGATTTACTTATTTATTTATATTTCAAATTTGTCACCGCCCATCTCACTACAAAGCAATGATGTCACAATCAAATTAGCTAAACTATTAGCTATTCTGATGGCTTCAAGGGACTAATTAGATATGATGTGCATGGATATATATAAGTCTTCCTGGTGCCCTAAACTGACACTGTAGTCCAAGAAACACTTTGAGTGAAATATTTTTAAATATTAAATACCCTTGAATGAGGATTTTAAACGATGAAAATAACTTTTTATGAAAGGTTAAGAAAGAATATGCAACTGTATACCATTTCCAAAATCAGGGCTGAGTTGTTCTGCTGTAAGTAAATAACATCCACACAGATTTCAGCTGGGGTTTGGTTCAGAGTTGCAGATTAAGGAATAATAAGCACTCTTATAGTGCAATCCTACATACGGTATATCTATTCAGAAATCAGTCACATTGTTTCAAGAGGGCTTACTCCCACATAAGTGCACACTGGCTTGCATCCATTCTGCTTCAGTGGCTCTTCTTTTCATTAGTCATACATCTATTCTTAACCACATTGTAACAGATAAAGCACTTTAATCACTTTCCATCATTTTTTAAGATTTGGAGCCTCCCAGAGATCCAGAATAAAGCTGAGAGAGAGACAGCAATTTGCACCTTGGCATCTCCACAATATCTAGCTAGTCAGGAACTTTACCAACTACATAAGAAGATATACAATATTGTAATTGTATTGTACAGTGTTGTAATCTTTTCTATTTCTGTAACAACTTAATTAGTCTTACTTTACAATTAAAGTAAGACTATTTTGCTAATTATGTAGAGTTGTTGGGAGTTGGGCAGCGTTGAATTAAAATATTTATCTATCTATCATCTATCTATCTAATAAACCTTGGAATGAAGCCTGCTTTATGCATGTTTTTAAAACTTTCCTGGGGATGCATCTTTTAAGAAAAGATATAGCTATTACTAAAGACATAGTTAATACCTCAGTATCTCTGGGCAGTGGTTACCTTCAGTGACCAGTTTTCTACTGGCATCCTGCCCCTTAGAAACTAGCATGTAGTAAGTGAAAGAAATGAGTGAGGAATCCAGCGGTATGATTCTAGTACCATTAACATTATGTAATGGATTTTAAATAATTAGTGAAATAGAAGTGTGTGCCAGGAGAAAGATAGCAAATTTATAGTGCCAGACTAACTTTTGCCTGAATAATCCCAAAGTCATTGAGCCTAATGCAAACACAGTCCCACAGAATGTTTGGTACAGTCAAGTCATTTCAAGTCAAATGCAAGTTCAGTTCAAATCATGGACTCATCCATACAGTTTTCTCAACAGTAACTGTAATTTGATTTATATCCTGCCTTTCTAGCCATAATCAAAAGGTGAACTACCTAAAGCAACTATAATGTTAAAAAAGGATGCAGTAACTTTAATGCACTGATATTGTGAAGTAGGGTTAAGAGAGGTATCTGTGTTGCACAGGAACTCATAATTCAGTGTAAAAGCTATATTTTCAAAGCATTAAGTTTTCCTAAACCTAAAATTCAAATTTAGAAACTACATTATAGTTTGAAAATTGCATACTGTTATCATTTTCCAGTTTAAAAAAACAGAAACCAATCTAGATGTGGACAGAAGATAGGACTTCTGGAAAATAATTATTAAATAAAATAGTGAAAAATTTACAGTATAGCCTATGTAGAATTTTTCTTTCCAAAATGTGTTCCCCATGTTTTAAGAGAAAATAGTAATCTGAAATGATACAGATTTGTTACTATACATTTTAGTCCTTTGCTAAATTCCAGAAATATTTTAATTAAAATATATATTTGTCCAAAAGACATCATTTATGCATATGTCCATTAAATTTAGTGGGACTTCCTGTTGAGACATATATAGGATTGCACCGCAAAGCACTTATTGGAATGCTCTCAGAAAACAAATACAGGCCGATGTGCAAACAGAATATACACACAGAATACACACACATACACACACACACACACACACATTATATGGTGTAGGGTTCACTTTTATATGTCTTATATATATATATATGTATGTATATATATATGTATGTGTATATGTATGTATGTATGTATGTGTATGTATGTATGTATGTATGTAT